ACAACTACAAACATACTTTACTTCAGAGATCATTGTTTTTTACCAATAAAATGTCAAAATGAGTTGCAAAATGCATTCAGTTGTGGAGTAAAAATATTTAAGATTGTGTTTCTTATCGATATTTAGCTCTGAGGAGCAAATCTTTCTTGGGGTTTTTACATGTTAGATCTATTTATTTGTCACATCTTTGGGAAGAAATGTTGAAAGGTTACAAGGAAAGAGAAGATAAGGCGTAGATGAATGTTATCAAGAGGCTTCTGAAAAGGGCGAGTTTTTGGCAAAGTTTTGAAAGTAAATGTGTATTGATAGGGAAAAAAGGTGTTTTCTGAAATAACTTAGGTTTTTTTAAAAAAATCAATTTCTTTATTAATCTTTTGTTTCTTTTCTTTTTTTTTTTCGGTATGTGGGCCTCTCACTGTTGTGGCCTCTCCCATTGCGGAGCACAGGCTCCGGACTCGCAGGCTTAGCGGCCATGGCTCACGGGCCCAGCCGCTCCGCGGCATGTGGGATCTTCCTGGACTGGGGCACGAACCCGTGTCCCCTGCGTCGGCAGGCGGACTCTCAACCACTGTGCCACCAGGGAAGCCCAATCTTTTGTTTCTTGTATGTTAAACCATGGAATTAAACTTAGTGTGGTTGGATGCCTATAATTTAAAGATTTAGAAACAGAAATTTGAGGAATAAGAACTGTTTCCTGTCTTTCTTTTTTTGGCCACACCACATGGCGTGTGGGACCTTAGTTCCTAGACCAGGGTTCAAACCCACGCCCCCTGCATTGGAAGGGTGGCATCTTAACCACTGGACCACCAGGGAAGTCCCTGTTTCCTGTCTTTAAATGTATTGTTAGAGCATAGTAGTTAGTTCCAGATAGTATGATTGATACTGAACATCTCTCTCTTGGTATCAGGAGTCAGAAGATGTGTGAAATGGATAAATCTGAAAGTGTCAGAGCATAAAATGTAATCTAATTGAGTATATATATTTTATGACTTATTTCATAATAATTGAAAATGATTGAGTTGGTGCAGACATAGCTGCTTACCTGCTAGGTTGATTTCTGTGTTATAAGTATTTTAGAAATGCAGGTTTGTGATATCACCTAAAATCAAAGCACAGATTTGGTGAGCAAATTCCTAAAAAATGTACACTGATAAATGCATAGGAAGTACATGATAATCATAGAACAGTTCTTTTTTTCTTGCGTTATGCGGGCCTCTCACTGTTGTGGCCTCTCCCACTGCGGGCTCCGGATGCGCAGGCTCAGCGGCCATTGGCTCACGGGCCCACCTGCTCCGCAGCATGTGGGATCTTCCCGAACCGGGGCATGAACCCGTGTCCCCTGCATAGGCAGGTGGACTCTCAACCACTGCGCCACCAGGGAAGCCCAGAACAGTTCTTTTTTAAATTAAGGAAGGTACTTTGTTTTATGGTCTCAGAATGTCAGGTTCTGTTCAGAAATCAAGAAAAGAAAAAAGACTTAGTCTGTATATTTTTGCAAAAATGTTTGAAGATTTAAAAATTCATATATACTTCCAAAGTTATTTTTATTTAACAAGCACTTATTGTAGTTTTATTATATATCTATCATTGTAAGTGCTATACAGTGTTAATTTATTAAATCCTCATAACAACCCTAAATGTTTTCATGAAGATAAATATTTCAGGATGATAGTTTAAATGCTTTTGCTAAATTTTCATGTTTTCCCCCAGTTTATTTAACAAAAGTAACTTAGACAATAAACCACATTTAGTTTAACACGAAACTTTTTTTTTTTTTTTTTTGTGGCACGCGGGCCTCTCGTTGTGGCCTCTCCCGTTGCGGAGCACAGGCTCCGGACGCGCGGGCTCAGCAGCCATGGCTCATGGACCTAGCCGCTCCGCGGCATGTGGGATCTTCCCGGACCGGGGCACGAACCCGTGTCCCCTGCATCGGCAGGCGGACTCTCAACCGTTGCGCCACCAGGGAAGGCCTAACATGAAACTTTTAACCTCATATTTTGTAGTGAAAATTCTGTACTGCTCAGTGGTTTCATTAAAATAATATTTTATGTTGCAAAGATTTAAGTATTTTTTTTTAATATTTATTTATTTGGTTGTGCTGGGTTTTAGCTGCAGCACGTGGGCTCCTTAGTTGCGGCGTGCATGTGGGATCTAGTTCCCTGACCAGGGCTCGAACCTGGGCTCCCTGCATTGGGAGCACGGAGTCCTAACCAATGTGCCACCAGGGAAGTCCCAAGACTTAAGTATTTTTATAGTGCACATTTGATAGGCAGATATTCTCCATTACAGATGTTTGTGATATAGGGAAAGCAGAGACCTAGGCGGAAGTAAAAGTAAGCTTTACTTACATGTCACAAGCATTCATTTTGTCTTATTTACTTTTACGCAAAGTAATTACTTTGGAACTGTTGACGGCATACAGATTTGAAAATGCATTTAGAGTAATGATTATCCCTAAGCAGCATAATGTATCATTTATAATTTAAAAAAAAATTTATTTATTTAGTTTTGGCTGCGTTGGGTCTTTGTTGCTGCGCGCGGGCTTTCTCTAGTGGTGGTGAGTGGGGGCTGCTCTTCGTTGTGGGGCACCGGCTTCTCATTGCGGTGGCTTTTCTTGCGGAGCACAGGCTGTAGGTGCATGGGCTTCAGTAGTCGTGGCACGTGGGCTCAGTAGTTGTGACTCGCGGGCTCTAGAGTGCTGGCTCAGCAGTTGTGGTGCACGGGCTTAGTTGTTCCGTGGCACGTGGCATCTTCCCGGACCAGGGCTGGAACCCATGTCCCCTGCATTGGCAGGCGGATTCTTAAGCACTGTGCCACCAGGGAAGTCCCATCTATACTTTTTACTTGACTTTATTCTTATGCCTTCTACAGATGGGGGGAGATAAAATAAAGCTGTCATATTTGTAAGGAAGGTGCTTTTACTGTGAGCTAGTTTTCCTGTTGGGTTCTTCTCTTTGAGGGCCTTTCAGTTTCCTTTGCTTAAGTACCGAGATCGTGGAGGTTTTGTTGTTGTCTTTGCCTTTGCGTTGCGATTCTCCCACAATGACAGAGTTATATCAACTTTCTCTCTGGTACATTTAATACATATGACATTAGACAATTCTCTGGAACTATTCAAGTAGACATGAAATTTTATTCAAATAGGTATTTATTTGAGTATTGAATTAGCTACCTATTCAAATAGGTATCTACTTGTGATGTCTTATCTTCCACTCGCTGCTCAGTAAACTAGTAGTGAATGTTGTCTCTAAACTGTTTCTGACTCATCTAAAGGATAATGTAGCAGAAAATAAAATTTACCTTTAATTTTACTGTGTTGGTGGAATCAGTAGGGGGTGGAATGTGATTATCTGACATATTCTGAACACCTTTGGGTGTTCTGAAGGTGAGGGGATGAGACCTGATGTGCTGCCTTGAAATAAGGTGGCCAGATTGGGTGAAGAGAGCATGGTTTACTCCAGGTGTCAAACCAGATACACTTTGCAGCATGAATTGGTCCCGTCATCTTTAAATATAGCCTGGTATAGGAGGTAGAGATCGCCTAGGGGCTAGAGTTATTTTGTTTTATTTCTGTTATGAATAACTCAAATTTCATCTGACCCTGGGCCAGTGAGGGAATGGTTGATATGAGGGATTCTTTAGAACCATTTTGAGAGTAATTTCTTTTAAATTAGTATTCTTCCTGCAATTAAATATAGAACATTGAATTTTGATATACACCCTCTCCCTCCTACCCACTCTGTCATTTATTTCACACCCACTCTTACCCAACACTCCATGGAGCTTCAGTTTTCTTTCTACCTGTTCTTCTGTTTAACAATTTCTTATCTATGCCTCTGTGTAAGATAAGAATGTCTCTGTATGTCAGTATGAAATCAGTGATCATATGCCAGGTAAGTATCTGGGTGCAAAGAAGCTGCATCAGACTCGTTATAGCACTACTACTACATTCTCTAAGGAGCCATGCTGCCACTTGGAGCAAAAAAGGAGTGGACTCTTACCCTCTTTTTTCTTCTCCTCTTGGATTAAAGCTAGAGTAGGGTGTTGTAGTTCTTCTCCTTGTGGTTGGGCACTTCTCCTTTGGCCTAGTATCAAGGATTGCCTGTTCCAGTCCTGGTCCCTGCAAAGAGTAAAGCACTACCTCTCTCCCTCACCCCTTTCTAAATTAGCTCCTATATTTGAGTTGCAGGGAAAGATATTCACAGTTCCTTAGACTCATGTCCAGAACAGGGTGCTAGAGGAAGCTTTTCTGTGATCAGGTTTCCTTGTGGATCTGGTGATTTGGCTGTTCTTCCTTTGGATACCACAAAGTAGTCTTTTCCCTCTTTGAGATTTCTCAGTTCCTGCTTTCCGGCTTCGTATGTTCAAGGGTCCTGAGATTCAAGGACCCTTGGACATATGCCATTTGGTTTCTCCTAGTATCTCACCTCTCTTTTATGCCATCCTTTGACTCTTTAAATTCTGCCACTGCTGTCTGATGGAACACTTACTATGACTTCTCTAGATAATTTAAAAAATTCTCGGGCTTCCCTGGTGGCGCAGTGGTTGAGAGTCCGCCTGCCGATGCAGAGGACACGGGTTCGTGCCCTGGTCAGGGAGGATCCCACGTGCCGCGGAGTGGCTGGGCCCGTGAGCCATGGCCGCTGAGCCTGCGCGTCCGGAGCCTGTGCTCCGCAACAGGAGAGGCCACAACAGTGAGAGACCCGCGTACCGCAAAACAAACAAACAAACAAAAATTCTCCTTTGGAGAAGGCAGACTGAATGGAAAAGAGCTACTAACTTGTCACTAGAAGATTTGGGTAGAGCCACCTAATAACTCCATTTGCTTTTGCAGATCTAAAATAAAATAGGTTAGGGGAATTCAGAACGCAAGAGTTAGCTAGTGGGCCAACTTCCAGCTATAATTTTGATGAAAGAACCAAAGAAGAATGGCCAGATAGCTATTAAAACATCTTTTATAAATTTTGGTTTTGATGTCAGCCTTTTATTTTTCTTCTCAGTCGCTTTAGGTCGTAACCAGCCTTTGAAAAAGGAGAAACCCAAATGGAAAAGTGATTATCCCATGACAGATGGACAACTACGCAGCAAGAGAGATGAATTTTGGGATACTGCACCAGCTTTTGAAGGCCGTAAAGAGATTTGGGATGCCTTGAAGGCTGCAGCACATGCTTTTGAAAGCAATGATCATGAACTGGCACAGGCAATCATTGATGGTGCGAACATAACGTTACCACATGGTAGGTTTGGTTGTTGTCAAGGACAAAGTGGAACATCATCAGCTCCTTTCTAATGGCAAGAAACCAAATGGGAAGTGTTCATTTTCCTGCTATGCATTATTCTAATTTTTTTTTTTTTTTTTTTTATGTAGCAAAGAGGAACATTTCTCTTTGCTTCTTGTATATCTTTTAGCTAGAGATAGGTTTACTCTGTGTGTGTGTGTGTGTGTGTGTGTGTGTGTGTGTGTGTTTTAATATCAAGAAAGAGAACACTTGATAAACCTGTATTTTCTAACTTCCGTCTAATCTAGTTCTCCATCAAGGCCTCCCCCTGGCCCCCGTCTTCTAGAGCTTCTAGTTCACCGGTTTCCTGCTAGCACTAGAGAGGTAGTCTCAAATTTAGATCTCAGAAGCCATGGAGACTCAGTGGACACAGCTTTAGTCATTATCCTTTCTCATTAAGCCTGTTTTTTTTTTTTTTTTCTTGCGTTATGCGGGCCTCCCACTGCTGCGGCCTCTCCCATCTGCGGAGCACAGGCTCCGGACGCGCAGGCTCAGCGGCCATGGCTCACGGGCCCAGCCGCTCCGCGGCATGCGGGATCCTCCCGAAACGGGGCACGAACCCGCGTCTCCCGCACCGGCAGGCGGACCCTCAAGCACTGCGCCACCAGGGAAGCCCAAGCCTGTTTTTAACATAATGAGCAAACCTAAACTTAGAAGTGAGTCTCACATATTCTTAAGGACAGTTTTCTATGACTGTATCCCTGAGCTTTATTAGAAACCTCTCTCCTTTGCTTAGGAATGTGACTCTAACGACCACCATAAGCTTTGAATGTTTCCAGGGACACGTGTATGCTGGGTGCATGCATATCCTCATGTTTAGTCTCCTTGATTAGAAACAAAAAAGTTGCATGCTATACTAAGATTTAGGTGTTAATTTTACAGTATATTATATTCTTGTTCTGTTGATTACTATATTTATAAATTGACTTTTCAGTTTTTCAAGTTAATATTTTTCTAAGTTGTCTCTTTAGGCCCGATATAATCCTATACTTCGTTGCATAGTTTTCTGTTTATTATTATACTCTCATTGTTTTGTTTGCAGTATCTTCCTTTTTTTTTTCTTTTCTTCTTTCCTTTCTTTTTCCACCCACGGGAATTTTTAGTAAAAGGTGAAAGATTCATACAATCTGAAGAGAAACACGAGTATCGATCAGTATCTTACTTTGTCTACATTTTCAGAGGAACAGTGCTTTTCACTGTTTAATCATCTGCTTTGACTCTTTGTCAAATAAAAGTTATTTAACTTAGTATCCTTTCCAGTTTTCCAAATCTCCATTAATTTTCCGAATTAATTGTGCTTCCAAGAAACTTTTAAAAATATATATTCCATAGCTGTTCTGTTCTTTATTAATAAAACCTTATTAGGATGGGCTTGGGTTAATAACATTGAGCACCCACTATATATAGATCACTTTTTCTACGTAGGTGTAAAAATAATCCGTCCTACATTTGAAAAATTTATAATAGAATGCAGTTTTAGTATGACTCTTTAGTCCCTATTTTCATGGATAGTCTCTGAATTCTTTACTTCTTACATGACTGGAGTGGATATCACCTTGTTCCATTACCTTTCTTAGTTCTATAATTTGTCTTCAAATACTACCTTTATATAATATAAAGGGAAGGGCCTTCCTTTACAGTTAGTTTTATCATCCATCTCTTTTTACTGCTTACATCCTATATTTTAAAAGCAGAATATATTGGTATCTGTACAGGCCCGCGAGTCGGGTGGGGGTGGTGTTTATCTGTGATTTAGGAGCACAAGGCCCAGAACCTTGGAACTTTGACTTCCTTATTTTGTACCTGTCATAGTTACCTATGGGAAAATCTAATTTTGTTCTGTTGATTATGGCCTTGTTTACAAGTTCATGGAGGCATAACAGCACTGTTACATTTAAGGTAGGGACCTACGCATATCCTATTAGAAACGGGCTCAGATCTCTAAAAACTCAAGTCCCTCATTTCTGTTTATCTGTGTGAACTACAAAGTAATGATCCTGGCAGCCCCACCAACCAACAGACTGGGGAGAATTATTCTTGGAAATTTGAGAATACTGGATGAGCCTCAACTCGTCCCATCTATGTTTAAGGAATATTTTCTGCTTTAGCGTGAAAGAATCAAATTGACTTTCCTCAAGCTTTCCTCTTTGAAAGCTCTGTAATAACTTTATGTGTATTAATATTATTGTCATTGGTACCCTTGATTGATTTCCCTTGTTCATATCTGAAACTTATCAATAATGTTTCTTGGGTGGACTTTTGAATTATATTTCGTCAGGTACTCTAACTCACAATCAGTTTATAACAGCTATTTAGTTACATGTTTTTACCTAGACCTCACTGGTATTGGTGAAATCCCTTCCACCTTTTAGGTGTAATTACGTAATTGAAATTTTACTTTGGATACATTTTGTTGTATTAAACCCTAACCATCCCAAAGTACTTCATATTTTGAGTTTAAAATATTGCATAGGCTTTAGCTCTTGTTTAGCTCAGGCTTTGGTATCAGACCTAGCCTTACTTCCTGCCTCTACTGTATTACTTATAGCTATGTGCCTTTGGGCAAATTGCTTCTTTTCTGTAAGCTTCAGTTCTCTCATCTGTAAAATATGGATTGTAAGTACCTACATTGTAGGGTGGTCCTATTGATTAAATGTGATTATAAAACATGTAAATTGCTTACCATAGTCCAAAAAACACTTAGTAGTAGTGCTGATGATTGTCTCTTTTTTTTTTTGAATTTTATTTATTTTTTTATACAGCAGGTTCTCATTAGTTATCCATTTTATACATATTAGTGTATACATGTCAATCCCAATCTCCCAGTTCATCCCACCGCCACCACCGCCGCCCACCCGCCACTTTCCCCCCTTGGTGTCCATACCTCTGTTCTCTACATCTGTGTCTTAATTTCTGCCCTGCAAACCAGTTCATCTGTACCATTTTTCTAGGTTCCACATATATGCGTTAATATATGATATTTGTTTTTCTCTTTCTGACTTAACTTCACTCTGTATGACAGTCTCTAGATCCATCCACGTCTCTACAAATGACCCAATTTCATTCCTTTTTATGGCTGAGTAATATTCCATTGTATACATGTACCACATCGTCTTTATCCATTCGTCTGTCGATGGGCATTTAGGTTGCTTCCATGTCCTGGCTATTGTAAATAGTGCTGCAGTGAACATTGGGGTGCATGTATCTTTTTGAATTATGGTTTTCTCTGGGTATATGCCCAGTAGTGGGATTCCTGGGTCATATGGTAATTCTATTTTTAGTTTTTTAAGGAACCTCCATGCTGTTCTCCATAGTGGCTGTATCAATTTACATTCCCACCAACAGTGCAAGAGGGTTCCCTCTTCTCCACACCCTCTCCAGCATTTGTTGTTTGTAGATTTTCTGTTGATGCCCATTCTGACCGGTGTGAGGGTCCTTTCTTTCTCTCTTCTCCTTCTGGGACCCGTATAATGCGAACGTTGTTATGTTTAATGTTGTCCCAGAGGTCTCTTAGGCTGTCTTCATTTCTTTTCATTCTTTTTTCTTTATTCTGTTCCGCAGCAGTGAATTCCACCATTCTGTCTTCCAGGTCACTTATGCGTTTTTCTGCCTCAGTTATTCTGCTATTGATTACTTCTAGTGTATTTTTCATTTCAGTTATTGTATTGCTCATCTCTGTTTGTTTGTTCTTTAATTCTTCTAGGTCTTTGTTAAACATTTCTTGCATCTTCTCGATCTTTGCCTCCATTCTTTTTCCCAAGGTCCTGGATCATCTTCACTATCATTATTCTGAATTCTTTTTCTGGAAGGTTGCCTATCTCCACTTCTTTTAGTTGTTTTTCTGGGGTTTTATCTTGTTCCTTCATCTGGTACATAGCCCTCTGTCTTTTCATCTCATCTATCTTTCTGTGAATGTGGTTTTAGTTCCACAGGCTGCAGGATTGTAGTTCTTCTTGCCTCTGCTGTCTGCCCTCTCGAGGATTGTATTTCTTGAACTCTGACATTAACAAGTAAATTCCTTGCACCTAAATTATAGATTTCAGTCTTTTCTGGATGTATTGTCTACTGGTAACATCTTTCTTTGGCTTTTAGGATACCCTTCTTTTGGGCATATGCCTAATGGAATTTTGAGGTTATGTTGATTCAGTAGCAACAATAGTGGCAGATTTATTTATTTATTTATTTTAAAATTTTATTTTATTTATTTATTTTTGGCTGTGTTCGGTCTTTGTTGCCCTGTGTGGGCTTTCTCTAGTTGCGGTGAGCGGGCTTCTCATTGCGGTGTCTTCTCTTGTTGCAGAGCATGGGCTCTAGGCACCCAGGCTTCAGCAGTTGTGCCTCGTGGGCTCTACAGCGCAAGTTCAATAGTTGTGGCGCATGGGCTTAGCTGCTCCGCGGCATGTGGGATCTTCCCAGACCAGGGCTCGAGCCCGTGTCCCCTGCCTTCACAGGCAGATTCTTAACTGCTGTGCCACCAGGGAAGCCCAGTAGTAGATTTATTAATTAGACACCTAGCAGTGAGGACATTGTTAGTTTAGCATCATCTCACACCTGATCCATGCCCACCCCCTTCCTCTCCGTCTGTCAGTATTACCCATAAGATTACTGAACTAATCACAGATTGACAGCCTGAAGAGATCCTAGGATATACACTCCTTTCTAAGTTTTCTTCCAAAAATCTCCTTTTTTGTTTTCATCTCATCCTCTCTTCTCTTCCCATAATCTTTTTGTTATCTCAACCTTATTCATATTATCTTCCCAGTATAAATATTATAAAAAGTTCTTTAAAGCTTGAAAACCATATGAAAATGTCTTTGTAAATGTTGTTTGTATCTGTGTCGTCTGTTATTTTAGATTGTATGCTCAAAGTAAGCAAGGATTATGCCCTTTTTGATTTAAATTGTATTTAGTGTCAGTGTTTTATGCATAAAAATTATGTATTTGTCAGTGGCCTTTTT